ATAAAAACAAGTGTAATACTGCTTTAAATTGTTGTTGTTTTTCCCCAAAAAATAAAAAAGTTTTCTGTTTAATTGAATTGCAATTTTGTTTTAGTTTTTCTGAGCAAAAAATAAATATCATACATTTTTTCCTGATTTACAGAAGAGACCCACTAAAATGTCATTCAGTGTAACAATCTTGTCAGGCATATTTACAACAAAAATCACTTTATGACATATTAAAAGACTAATTACTTTCACCCCAAATACTAATTAGTTGTAATTTTACATTTTAAAATTTGCCGCTATCCTAGGTTTTGCCCAATTTTCAGTAAGAATTTTTTACTCATTTAAAACACAATAAAATTTAATTTGATCCCTTATTCTTTTATATATTTTAATATGTACACGTCAGAATAAGCATGTTGTTTGAATTTTTACATTAATATTGTGTTACACTGAATGACAATGTAACATTATTTTAACCAAATTTTGACATTTTATCCTCCAAAAACTTATTTGAAACCTTAAAAGTAGACACTTTACTTGCATTTAATGTGTTTTCTATGGACATAAAATCACTTTTGTAAATTTCTTTTGATGCGGACATCTTAACGTCTTTGACCCATTGTATATATGTATTTAAAGTTTTTAACATAAAAAGCAAGGAGTACTAAAGGATAATAACAGATAATAGCAAAATAATCAAATTTAGGAACAAAAAGTGGGCTAACATAAAAAATGGAATAAAAAATGGTCATACTTATGTTCTGATGAAATTAAATGAGTAGTTTTGTTTTAAACAAGCAAAAAATATGAGCACTTTTGATATATCAATGTATTGTTTTAAGCAATATTTCAGTACAAGCATAACGAAAATAACCACCAAAGCAAACAGTGAATCGATTTTCTGTTTATTTATTTTTTTTATTTATAATAATAATTTAAATATTAAATATTAAGGTATTTAATTATAAGTATTAATGTTGTTATACCTCCATCAAACCTTTTGTCTCCTTGGATGTGTTATTGTATAGTGACACCCCGATGTTTAAGGAAATGTTGTGATGCAGTACAAACTGATAATTCATCTCAACACATAACCTGACAGATATCACAGCCACACCCAAACATAATGAGAAGTCCATGTTTGCATTGAAGAAAAAAAGCTTTCTGAAATGAATTGATGAAACAGTATATGTGGCAGATTTTTGTAGCTGATTATCACATATAAAATACAAAATTTGATTTAAACATCATAGTGTACTTAAAGCAAATGTAATGTTGTGGTTATTTCTAACAGACAGTTTGCTTCCTATATTCATTTCAGAGATAAAGTCAACTTTTTTTCATTCAACTCAACTGTGCATGTGCACAGGAAAAGGTCAGAGAAGGACATTTTATTATAATTTAGTATCATAATCATAAACACACAGGTTTGTAGCACAAATAACTTTACCATTTGTTGCATGTTAGTTATTATTATATATATATATATACACAGTACAGTATAATGATTTGTCTCGCACATTTACAACAATAGCATACTTCAGCGTTAAGATAAATTAAATACTTCGTTAGCTTGTTCGAGAGCAGGAAGGCCTAAAAATGGATACCACACTCTAAAAAATGCTGGGTTAAATTCAACCCAGTGCTGGGTAAAATAGGGACAAACCCAGCAATTGGGCTGTTTTGACCTAGCGGTTGGGTTAAATGTTTAACCCAACATTCTGGGTAGTAACTGCTTTGTTTCTGCTCAATACGTTGAACCAAGAAATGATGTTGAAATATCAGCTATAGTTACAGGACAGATTGGAGAGTTTGTCTGGATGGAGCAATAAAGGGACGGTGTGTCTTTATTTTGGTGTCGGTCAAATATCATCATGGTTTCTCAGAAATCACTTACTGCACCTTTAAACCCAACTAGACCAAAAGTAATGAAAGTAAATGAAGGACAATGCAGAGAAAGATGTTTAATATATGTAAATAGTTTATTACAGAAGATTAGCACTCTGTTTAATTCTTTATTGCATTCTATTATAACTTTTCATTTTATTTTTTATAGGCAAATACATATTTGAATATATATGAAAAGGAAGGGGAAGAGAAAATAAAGGAATGTATAGTCTTGACTCTTGACTGAGTACGCTACAAAATTACTGCAGATATTGCAAACACATTATTATATATTCATTTTTAAAATTTTTAATAATTATTTGTCTGTTACAGTGTTGATGCACTATTTTGTTTAATATGTTTAGTAAAATACAGATTTTCTGTTCCCCAAATCATGATACCAAAGAACACCAGAACAACATGCACACTTCATTCAGTAAAGTATTAATAGAAACGTGTGACATTCATTTTTTCATGCAGCTGTAGAATCTGAAGTGCAGCTGGACTCACTGAAACAGGAAGTAGAAGAGCAGAGGAGACAACAGCAGGAGGAAGCTTCCCTTATACACGCCATCTGATCAAGACAATAAGAAAATCACTGGTAATTAATGCTACAACTAGTAATAAAAGCAATTAAAAATTGCTTATTCATTGTTGATAAATTTCATCACAATAAAAACTCTGAAAGCACTTGACTAATTCATAAGGTTCCTGCCGGTCAAGTTTTGCACACTATTCAGGACGCTTTTGAAATTTGATATTATGTTCCTTTAAACAATCACTTGTGTTTGTCCTATTAGGCCTATTGTTTGTATTATTTACTCATTCTAAGTCACTGTGGGAAAAAAATAGCACATGATCGTATAAAGAACATTACCTGCTGCATTGCAGAGGTCAGTGTCACAGCAGTGGGTAGTTATTGACCCAGTCGGGAGCTGTTGGGTCCCAGCTTCACATGTAGGTGTACACAGCTTAGTTGTACTGCTCAGCTTAATGGGACCTTCAAAAACATACATAATGACCTTCAAAATAATGAAACATCAACAAACAAATCTCTGTAGGACAATGAAACTGTTATTTTCACTGTACACTCTAAAAAATGCTGGGTTAAATACAACCCAGTGCTGGGTAAAATAGGGACAAACCCAGAAATTGGGTTGTTTTGACCCAGCGGTTGGGTTAAATGTTTAACCCAACCTTCTGGGTAGTAACCCAACCGCTGGGACAAAACAACCCAATTGCTGGGTTTGTCCCTATTTTACCCAGCACTGGGTTGTATTTAACCCAGCATTTTTTAGAGTGTACAAAAACAGCTAAGCTGCTTGATATTTCATACTGATATTTCTTATCATATTTTAATGTATTGTCGCAATCATAAACACACTGGTTTGTAGCACAAATAGTTGTACTGTTTAGTGCAATTATTATGCACTTGTTACTCTAGTTATTTACCTTTACTTATACACTCTAAAAAATGCTGGGTTAAATATGGACAAACCCAGCGATTGGGTTGTTTTCAACCAACAGTTGGGTTAAATGTTTAACCCAACCTTCTGGGCAGTAACCCAACCGCTGGGTTTGTCCATATTTTACTCAGTGCTGGGTTGTATTTAACCCAGCATTTTTTTAAAGTGTACCTATAGCAGAAATTAGCACTTCCATGAGAAATTACATTTCCATTGTTTCAGCACCAGTAAATTATAGCAGCATCTCCATCAGTCAAACATAACAGCACATTTCAATTAATCACATTGGACTTACCAAGTTCTGTCACTGTTGTTATACTCATGCACTTGGAAGATCCACTGGGGCATGTTGTCACATTTTGATTTGCACAGGAACCCATCAGACCCAAACACTCATAACATCTGAGAGAGTGCCCTTAGTAATAAAACAGAGACAGTGAGAAAGAGACACCTATTATATCTATTTGATGTCTATTATCTCTAACCCTAACCCAGTAACATTACAGACACTATTTGTCGTAGTACCTGCAGAGAAAAGAACGGACAGAAGAAAAACTGAGATTTGCAGATCCATCTTTGATCAGGAGGTGAATTAAATAATTTCCGTCTGTTTCAGCACCCATTTTATAGCTTATCAAATGGGAGGGTCTTTATGAGACAATGACAGTTTAACAGAAGTTTCTGGACATTTCTGGAATCAGAAACATCATCTTAAAAAGATACATGGAAAATATACTGTTGATTTTCTGCAAAAGACATTGTCTGTTAATTTTACAGGCATTTCTGTAAACCCTAAAACACAACACAACGAAGTGCAAAAAAACAATACAGGAAAAGTTGATACAGAAAATGTCTTTATATCAATACAGCACAATGTAGCCCATTTTTATGGATTTTTTTTTTTTTTACAGTGTACATAATTTACTTGAAAGTTAATTATAAAGGAATGTTTTTAATATAAAAAGCAAGAAGTACTAAGAAAGTATAGTAGCAAATAATAGATAGCAAAATAATTTAATTTAAGAACAAAAAAGTGGGTTAAAGGATTTTAAAAATGATTAAATCAACAAGATGGTCTAAGGCATAGGTTGATGAAACTACATTAGTTTTATACAAGCAAAAAATATGGTTTTGATATATTAATATATTATTTTAAGCAATATTACAGTACTGGCCTAATGAAAATAACCACCTAAACAAACATAAATGTTCTGTTAATAAAATATTTAGGAGCTTATGATTATATTAAGTATTTAGTTTTAAGTATGTTCTTAGTGGTGTAAATGTATGTGATAATAAGCTACATAAATCTGCAACATTTTAAAAATGTATTACATGTTAGATCAAATTATAATTTGATAAGAGACATTGTGTGCTGTGTAAATACAGTATGATGGTTACTGTAGTTCTAGACTAAATGTGATCATGCATTTACTCGTCTCAGTTGCACAAAAACAGATTCATCATTTCTACAAATAAAAAAACAAAACAATGAAATGCAAACTCAGAACCTGCAATAATTAAACGTTAAATAATTCAAATTTTCTTTATGTATTCAATCCCAGTTTATTAACCAGTGTCTTTGCTGCTGACCTTCAGTTATCCAGTTTAACCATACTAATAATCAAAAATGACTTTCAATGAACATAACATTTGTGTTTCTTTTTTCTTTTCTTTTAATTGCTGAAGAGCATTGATCTTTCTTCTTCTGTGTGCTATTCTGCATGCAATTCAGTATGGCAGCATAATGGGCTATGAACTCAGATTTAAAAAGTAAAGAAAATGCAGAAGTAACGTAACGCATTACTAAGCAGTAACATAATTAGTTACTTTTTTAGGAAGTAACGTTACGGTGTAATGCATGATTTTTAAACGTAACTTTCCCCAACATTCATCAGAATCATAAATACACTGGTTTGTTGCACAGATAGTTTGACTATTTGTGGCACTCCGTTGTTTTTCTAGTTATTTTCATGTAGTGGCTAATGAATCAGAAGTCTCGCTCATTTACAGTAGCATACTTCGGCGCTGCAAGATAAATTAAATAGTTTATTAGTTTGTTATAGAGAGAAGGAAGACCTGAAATCGGATGCCGAGTTTGCTTTGTTTCTGCTCGATACACAAGTAACAATGGTTTAGCTTTGCTTCACAGAACCATGATGTTCTAATACCAGCTATAGAAACAGTACAGGTTGTTGCATAGAGTGGATCTTAGATTTGGACGCGGAGCAATGAAGGGAGGGGTGTGTTTGTTTTGGTGTCAATTTTAAATATCATTGTTTCTCAGAAATCGGAGACGGTTGTTTCTGTCCGTGACAGTTTATAATTTTGTTCAGTATATATATACTGTGATACTATGACCCTGGAGCACAAAACCAGTCTTAAGTCGCTGGGGTATATTTGTAGCAATAGCCAAAAAAAACATTGTATGGGTCAAAATTATCGATTTTAATCATTAGGATATTAAGTAAAGATCATGTTCCATGAAAATATTTAGTAAATTTTCTACTGTAAATATATCAAAACTTAATTTTTGATTAGTTACATGCATTGCTAAGAACTTCATTTGGACAACTTTAAAGGCGATTTTCTCAGTATTTAGATTTTTTTTATTTTATTGATTTTTTTTAAATAGTTGTATCTCAGCCAAATATCCAGTTGTCCTATTGTCCTATCCTAACAAAACATACATCAATAGAAAGCTTATTTATTCAGCTTTCAGGTGATGTATAAATCTCAATTTAAAAAAATTTACCCTTATGACTGGTTTTGTGGTCCAGGGTCACATATGGGCGTTACTGAGATATATTCATTTGGTCTCAACACACTTAACACTACAGTGCAGAATTTTGGGGTTATTTATTTATTCATTTCAAATGTATTTGAAAGAAGTCTCTTATGCTCAGCAAGGTTGCATTTGTTTGATCCAATAAAAACAGTAATATTGTGAAACTGCATATTTTTATCCCCTAGAGGACGCAGTTCGAAGTTCCACGAAAGGGAACTCTATGAACAAAATTGACTTGGCCAAAAAATCACGTTGGGCGAATTTACGTTTTATTAAAAAGGGTTTTCGTATTCTACACTAATGGCGCGCACACACATTAGGATAGGTTAGATGCCTGCCTCCGCTGCGAGTCCCTATCAAGCACTTTACAGATTCAACTACTCTCCTCTCCTCCTCCTGTCTTGCTCTTTGGCCCGCATCACTCACCGCAGAGCAAGCCTGTTCTTTCTTATGCTGCTGTGAAAACGTGGGAAATGCCGACAAGGAAGAAGTTGGGGTGATGCGATCTTTATAT